TACAATATAAAGTTTGCAAGGGCTGGTAACTTTTTATTCTAGTAAGTCAATCTTGGACCCTTCCCTGGGTTTGAAATTATGGATTCTTACGGGTCCAAACTCTATAAGAAAATGGTTTTTCCCGGTCGGTCTAGACAATTTTTTTCCGGCCTCAAAAAAAAAGGCAGTTATTACCTTCCTTTTTTACCAAAAATCGACTGCACAAATTTCTCAGGAAAACGCTTTTTCTCAGCTAATTTTGGTGCGTGGATCCAAAACGATTCGTACTTTTTCGATCAAGACTCTCAATCAAAAGTTATGGACTTAAAACACAAATTTCGAAAATATATACATATATATATTAAATTAATAAATGGTATTATTATATTATATATCTAACTATACCTAACTAACCTAACCTAACTCTAACCCTACACTACCTAACCTAAACCTAACCTAACTAACCTAACCTTAACCTAACCTAATACTAAACTAACACCTAACAATCCTACTAACCTAAAACCTAAACCTAACGCTAACCTAAACCTAACCGTACTAACTATAAACCTAACTAACCTATCCTAACCTAACTACCTAAACTGACCTAACCTAACCCTAACCACCCTTGAACTACTAACCTAACATAACACCTAACACCTAACCTAACCTAAACTAACCTAATCAACCTCCAACCTAACCTAAACCTAGACCTAACCTAGCCCTAACCTACCCTAACACTAACCTAACCTAAACCTATAATAACCTAACCTAAACCTAACTAACCTAACCTAACCTACTAACTAAACCTAACAACCTAACCTACACCTAAGCCTAACCTAACAACCTGAACCTAACTAACCTAACCTAAACCTAACCTAACCACGTCAACGCTAAACCAACCTAAACCTAACTAAACCTAACCTAACCTAACCTAACCTAACCTAACCTAACCTAAACGCTAAACCTAAACGCTAACCTAACCTAACCTAACCTAACCTAACTTAACCTTAACCTAACCTAAACCTAACGCTAACTAACCTGAACCTAACCTAACCTAACCCTAACTAACCTAACCTACTAAACCTAACGCTAAACTAACCTACGTAACCTTAACCTATAACCTAAACCTAACCTTACTAACCCTAACCTAACCTAACCTAAACCTAACCTAAGCCTAACCTAACCTAAACCTAACCTAACCATAACCTAAACCAACCTAACCTAACCTAAACCTAACCTAACCTAACCTACCCTAACCTAACCTTATACGCTAAACTTAACCTAAACCTAACCTAACCTTACCTACCTTATACCTAGACCCAGACCACCCAACCCACAACAAACCTTACAAACTTTACCTAAAACCTACCCTAAACCTAAAACGCGAAACGAACGGAAGGGGAAAAAGCCCAGCCGGATCATGCTCTATAAGCAGTGGCAGCCTTTAGATTTCACTCGGTCTTCGAGGCAGCGATTGCGTTGGTCTTGTAATACTCAACTTTTGCAACTGTCTCGCTTAGGCCCTCCAAAGAGAGACTGCGAAAAGGCTCGGTTTCATTTTTCTGCGTGGACTGTGGGGCCTCCGTGATTATGGCTTGGGTAGGTTAGAGGAGGTTAGTTGATTTCCATCACGGCATGACAACAGCTGAGCTTGCGCGGAATAACTTAGAAAAGGAAGGCCGAGAGCCCTCGTCCACTCTGTGTTACCAGTCGACGTTCGAAATTGTGAAGCCACAACGGGGATTCGTACTCGCGCCTTCTCTATCTCCGTAACGTCGCCTCGCCTTCAAGCTTCGTTATCGCACGTATCGCCAAAACCGACAGCGGAGCTTCACACCATTTAAGCAAAAAAAAGAGAAGGTAGAGAAGGAAAGGATGGGAGAGAAAAGAAAGGAACGCGAGAAGAGACCTCGCTTCCTTTCTTTCTTCTCTTCCTTTTCTTTCTTTCTCTACTTCCTCCTTTCTCAAAATATAGAAGACGCGGGGTCTCGGGTTGCCCTCTAAGGGCGAACGAAATCCCCAAGCTAAGGGCTGGTCTCAACAGCATCGCAAGCGCGCTCAACTGCTCTACCGTTTTACAAGCCCCGCCAAGCTACGTAAGTCGTCTACAGACGATTCCGAGTTTCGAACATCGAACGTCACCCCTAAGTCGATCGCGGACGAGGCGCGTGCACGCGTAACGGAGAGATCCCGTTCGCGCACGCACGGTGCCCCGCGCGACTTAAAGGCTCTGGCGACCGCGGTCGTTCAAACGCGTGCGACCGAGCGGCCCTAAGGAGGTTATCGAGCCTTCCGACTCCCGAAACTCCTAAGATGGCATCGTTGGCACCCTCGTCTAGACGGGATGCGGCCTTAGATGGCGTTCAGGCTAGTCCCACGATGGTAGCTTTCTGCACCACGCCCTCGGGCGAGTGGCTTAACCAATTGTCCTGACCTCTGCCGGGTTACTCTCGTTACTGAGCAGAATTACTATCGCAACGACATAGTCATCAGTTAGGGTAAAACTAACCTGTCTCACGACGGTTAAACCCAGCTCACGAGTTGCCCCGATCGCGGAATGAACAAACCGACCACTTGGCGAATTCTGCTTCGGCAATTGATAGGAAGAGCGATATCAAGGATCAAAAAGCGCGTCGCTATGAAGCGCTTGTGGCCGCCACAAGCCAGTTATCCCTGTGGTAACTTTTCTGACACCTCTTTGCTTAAAACTCCTAAAAGCCAAAAGGATCGATAGGCCCCGCTTTCGCGGTCCCTGATGCTTATAAGGCATCGGGATAGGCCCAAGCCACATTTTCGCCCTTTTTTGTCTCTACGCGAGGGTTCTCTGTCCTCGCTGAGCTGGCCTTGGACACCTGCGTTTATTCTTTGACAGATGGTACCGCCCCAGTCAAACTGCCCCGCCTGGCGGTGTCTCGAATCGGGATCGGACCGAGGCATGATTGCGACTTTGTCTCCGGCGGACGGACGGGCAGCACGCACGGGCACAGGAGCGCACGGCGGAGCGAACTCGCCTCGTTGCTCCGTCTGCACCGTGATGACGCTACCGTCGTCGCGCGCCGACCGGTTACGATAACACGCGACCGACGAGGTGCGTCTTTTGATGCGAGAACGTCGTGGCACCGCACGATCGCCCGTAAGGCGAACTGCGAGCACGCGCTCCGCGCGCGTCGCCAGTAAGTTAAGGAAACCGACGAGAGTTAGTGAGTATTGCATTCGGCCGACGGGGGGATCGGCCGCTCGAGGCGTCGATCGCACGTCCCGTCTCCACCTATGCTGCAACCTCTCGTGTCTCTTTACAGTGCCAAACTACGAGTCAAGCTCAACAGGGTCTTCTTTCCCCGCTAATTTTTCCAAGCCCGTTCCTGGCTGTGGTTTTCGCTAGATAAAGTAGGTAGGGACAGTTGAGAATCTCGTTAATCCATTTCTGGCGCGTCCAACATACCTAGATGACGAGGCATTGGCTACCTTAGAGAGTCTTAGTTACTCACCCTGCCGTTTACCCGCGCCTTATTTCCTCCGAAATCTCTTCACGTTAGATTCAGAGCCCACTGGGCAGAAATCACATTGGTCAACACCCTCTGGGGTCATCGCATGCTTTGTTTTTAATCTAGACAGTCGATTCCCCTTTGTCCGTCGCCAGTTCTTCTGAGTCGGCGTTGTCGGCGGTCGAAGGGGGTACCGTCCGTAGCATCACGAAGCCGTATTACTCGCGACTAGGGAAAGGCCGAGGCCAACGGGCGTCGCCGGAGTCGACAAACCGCTAAGCGCGGGGCGCATTCTTGGAAACGTTTTTCGCGGCGCGGCCTGCGAACGCGGTAACCGAAGGTCGGATATCGACGAACGCCCCCTGCTAGTGAGGCGAACGCCGCCCGTTCGTCCCGGTCTTTGGCCGTCGTCCGCTGCCGCGCCATACCCGACACGCCCATCGACCGCTCAGAGCCAATCCTGTCCCGAAGTTATAGAGATCTAATTTGCCGACTCCTTACCTACATTATTCTAATCGACTAGAGGCTATTCACCTTGGAGACCGGCTTTGCGGATATGGGTACGAGCCGGCACGGCTCCTCGTAGCCCTCTCCCGGATTTTCAAGGTCCGAGGGGACGATCCGGACACCGCGGCAATTGCGGTGCTCTTCGCGTTCCGAACCATATCTCCCCACTATGGGCTTCCATGGATCTCGAACGCTCATACAGAAAAGAAAACTCTTCCCGGACCTCCCGACGGCGTCTCCGGGTCGTTTTAGGTTACCCAGACGAACTCTCTTACGAGGGCCCGAATAATGGCGGTTCCGTTGCCGGGTTGCGGAATAGGAACCGCATTCCCTTTCGCCCTTGAGGCGCGAACTGTGATACACAAAAAGGGCGCGGCGCGCGCGAGACGCCGGCCCCTTCGCATACGCGATCGTCTGCGCCTCATCGACGTCGGCTTTCGCCTAGCGGCTTAGGATCGACTGACTCGTGTGCAACTGCTGTTCACACGAAACCCTTCTCCACGTCAGTCCTCCAGGTGCTCGCTGAAGTATTTGCTACTACCACCAAGATCTGCGCCGACGGCGGCTCCAGACGGGCTCGCGCCCGGTCCTTCTGCGCTCACCGTCGCGACCCCCCTACTCGTCGGGGCCTCTCTTCGCGCCGCACCCGAGGGAGCGACGCCCTTGCCGCCAACGGCGAAGTATAAGCACGACGCTTAAGCGCCATCCATTTTCAGGGCTGGTAACTTCGGCAGGTGAGTTGTTACACACTCCTTAGCGGATTCCGACTTCCATGGTCACCGTCCTGCTGTCCTGAGTTACCAACGCCTTTTCTGGTTTCCAATGAGCGTCGATTTGGGCGCTTTAACTTCACGTTTGGTTCATCCCACAGCGCCAGTTCTGCTTACCAAAAATGGCCCACTTGGCACTCTAGATCCGATCTCGCGGCTTCGTATGTCGGGCAAGCCGGAGATCTCACACATTTAAAGTTTGAGAATAGGTTGAGGTCGTTTCGACCCCGATTCGCTCTAATCATTCGCTTTACCGCATGAGACTCTCGCAAAGCGAGCGCCAGCTATCCTAAGGGAAACTTCGGAGGGAACCAGCTACTAGACGGTTCGATTGGTCTTTCGCCCCTATACCCAGTTCTGACGATCGATTTGCACGTCAGAATCGCTGCGGACCTCCATCAGGGTTTCCCCTGACTTCGTCCTGACCAGGCATAGTTCACCATCTTTCGGGTCCCAGCGTGCGCGCTAGAGGTGCGCCTCCGGCACCGAACGAAGACGCGCAAACGTCGACGACGATGCCTGACGGAGACGCCCCGGGAGTGCGGGATCGCGACGAGCGCGACCCATCCTCCCAACGGCCGACGGGATGCGAGAGTTGCCCCCCGCCCCCGGCCGACCTTCGCTTTCGCTTCGCCTTTGGGTTTATCTGTTTGCTCCCATTGACTCGCGCGCACGTTGGACTCCTTGGTCCGTGTTTCAAGACGGGTCCTGAAAACGCCCAAAGCAAAAGCGTCGCTGACGATCGGACGTCGGTGTGCGCGCCGATTAGGCGCGCACGCCCGAGAACATTCGCCGAGGCGCGTGAGCGCGACGACGAAGCCGGGCGCGCCGCAAAAGCGCAACCGCCGAACGAACGCATCGTTCTGTTTTTGAATGTCGCGTCGGGCGTGCCGAACGCTAGGCGAGGACGCGTCGGGTTCGAGGGGCCGCAAAGACGACGGGAACAAGTCCCGCCGCGCCGCCTCGAGCCTCCCGAACGTACCCCATTACGCGTCGGCGACTCCCAACGGGTCGCGACGTCCTACCGGCCGAGAAGTGCACGCCGTCGCCGCTGCACCGGCGGCGCGGACGCTGTATCTCGGCTTTCGATCTTTCGGGTTTCTCAGGTTTACCCCCGAACGGTTTCACGTACTCTTGAACTCTCTCTTCAAAGTTCTTTTCAACTTTCCCTCGCGGTACTTGTTCGCTATCGGTCTCGTGGTCGTATTTAGCCTTAGATGGAGTTTACCACCTACTTAGGGCTGCAATCCCGAGCAACCCGACTCTAGGGAGAGATCCGACCCAACGCCGGGCGACGGTCCTACGGGCCTGGCACCCTCTGCGGGTGGTTCGGCCTCTTTCAAGAAGGACTTGGACGCGACGCTATCGCGACGTCGGGACTTGCGGATCCTCCTTAACGCCACATTTCCCGATCGGCCCTGGCGGACCGTGGGATTCGGCGCTGGGCTCCTCCCTGTTCGCTCGCCGCTACTGAGGGAATCCTTGTTAGTTTCTTTTCCTCCGCTTAGTAATATGCTTAAGTTCAGCGGGTGATCTCGCCCGAACTGAGGTCGTCTTTTGGTTTTGTGTTGTGCGATCGGTCGAACGGGCGCGAGCGCAGGGATAGGGTCGCACCGGCCGACGAACGTCTCGCGAGACTCGAAGGTCTACTATGACACGTCGTCGACACGTCGACCGCAAGCGATTATCCCGAGCATCTCGCGCGCTGCAGTCGATGCGGGTCGTCGGACGTCGCGCGGTTTTCGCCGCGCGGGCCCGACTCGTCTCGAGGAGACGCGACGCGCGCGGAGGCGCGCCGCGAGGCTCCCAATAATCGCGGATGTGCGCGCCGCCAGGGCGCGCGCGCACCGCCGCAGTCTTTCAGGACACGTCGGGGGGCGCTCGCGTATCGCGAAGACGAGCGCAAAACCCCGCGGCCTATTTTGAGGACGACCCTCAGTCTGACGTGGTCCCGGAACGCCGGAGCGTTTCCCGAACCGCAATGTGCGTTCGAATTGTCGATGTTCGTGTGTCCTGCAGTTCACACTACTACGCGCATTTAGCTGCGTTCTTCATCGACCCACGAGCCGAGTGATCCACCGTTCGAGGTAGTCTTTGTTTTAGGTGTTTTACAGTTTTTTTTTTCCTTTTCAGAAAAGTTCCGCGCGCGGAGCTCTCGCCCCTCCGCGTGTCGGACAGCGCTTTGTGCTCGAGGGCGCGGCGAGGAAACGCAAAACGCCTCCGCCGGCGCGGCACGGACCGCGTCGAATTCTCGATCGAAACGCGAGAGCGTGCGTGCGCGCGCGTGCGAGAGGCGATCATCCCCTTCGCGCACCTCGAAACCCGGCGATCGCGAACGCCGAACGGATCCCGCGCAGGACGCGCACACAACGTGGTCGTGTGGCGCGTCCGGGAGCCCGTCCGTGACGGCGCGTTCGCTCTCGCCGGAAAAAAATACCGACGACGAAGAACGAGCCCACCGCGCGCGCGCCGAGACGCCGTTCCGATATCGACACCGCGCAGCGAAACGCGGCGGCGGATAAGCCGGAAGGCGATCATCGGGGGCGAGCGGGCGAGCGCGTCTCCGTCGTCGGTTCGGTCAGTGTTTTTCGCTCTTCGCGGATAAGCGACGACGTCGGGCGTCTACGCTTCCGTACGAAAGAACTTTAATGATCCTTCCGCAGGTTCACCTACGGAAACCTTGTTACGACTTTTACTTCCTCTAAACGATCAAGTTCGGTCGACTTTCCCACGCGTCCGTCGACGGTAGGCCGACGGGCGTCGGTCCGAAGACCTCGCTAAATCGTTCGATCGGTAGTAGCGACGGGCGGTGTGTACAAAGGGCAGGGACGTAATCAACGCGAGCTTATGACTCGCGCTTACTGGGAATTCCTCGTTCATGGGGAAGAATTTCAAGCCCCAATCCCTAGCACGAAGGAGTTTCAGCGGATAACCCGGGCCTCTCGGCCGAGGGCTATCTGCGCACACGCTGATTCCTTCAGTGTAGCGCGCGTGCGGCCCAGGACATCTAAGGGCATCACAGACCTGTTATTGCTCTCTATAGCGCGGCTTCGAGCCGCTTGTCCCTCTAAGAAGATATGTTTGTCCGCAGACAGTGTAAGAACCGTGCGCTCGTGCAACCGTCGCCCGCGCGCGTCCCCCGTCGCTCCGACGCGGCCGCTGGGCGACCGGACGGCGACGTACGCGCCGCACCGAGGTACGACGCGCCGGGAGACGTTTGATCGCGCGGGAGGCACGCGAGGAACGCCGGCCTTCGAGATGCCTGTGTTTGAACGAACGACGACGACACGACCGCGACGACTACGCGCGAAGCGCGCCGCCGGGCGTGCGCCTCCGTGCGTTCTTTCGGCTATTAAGCAGGACAGAGTCTCGTTCGTTATCGGAATTAACCAGACAAATCGCTCCACCAACTAAGAACGGCCATGCACCACCACCCACCGAATCAAGAAAGAGCTCTCAATCTGTCAATCCTTCCGGTGTCCGGGCCTGGTGAGGTTTCCCGTGTTGAGTCAAATTAAGCCGCAGGCTCCACTCCTGGTGGTGCCCTTCCGTCAATTCCTTTAAGTTTCAGCTTTGCAACCATACTTCCCCCGGAACCCGAAAGCTTTGGTTTCCCGGAAGCTGCCCGCCGAGTCATAGAAGTAACTTCGGCGGATCGCTAGCTGGCATAGTTTATGGTTAGAACTAGGGCGGTATCTGATCGCCTTCGAACCTCTAACTTTCGTTCTTGATCGATGAAAGCGTTTTTGGCAAATGCTTTCGCTTAAGTCCGTCTTGCGACGATCCAAGAATTTCACCTCTAACGTCGCAATACGAATGCCCCCATCCGCCCCCATTGATCATTACCTCCGTCTGTCGTTCCACAAAAACCCAACAAAATAGAACGGAGGTCCTATTCGATTATTCCATGCGCGTGTATGCGAGCGCAATTTAGCCTGCTTTAAGCACTTTAATTTGTTCAAAGTAACGTTGCCGGCCCCCGCCTGGACACTCGGTTAAGAGCACCCCGTAGGCGAGTTCGTTGTACCGGCTGGACGTCCAGCGGTGCGCGCCAGTTGGCGTCGCGAGCGACGAACCGGCGGCCGAGGACACAATTTCGACTACGAGCTTTTTAACCGCAGCAACTTTAATATACGCTATTGGAGCTGGAATTACCGCGGCTGCTGGCACCAGACTTGCCCTCCAATTGATCCTCGTTAAAGGATTTAAAGTGTGCTCATTCCGATCACGGGGCCTCGGATGAGTCCCGTATCGTTATTTTTCGTCACTACCTCCCCGTGCCGGGAGTGGGTAATTTGCGCGCCTGCTGCCTTCCTTGGATGTGGTAGCCGTTTCTCAGGCTCCCTCTCCGGAATCGAACCCTGATTCCCCGTTACCCGTTACAACCATGGTAGGCGCATAACCTACCATCGAAAGTTGATAAGGCAGACATTTGAAAGATGCGTCGCCGGTGCGTGACCGTGCGATCGGCATAAAGTTATTCAGATTCGTCGTGCGAGCTATGTTTAGACGGCGAGAACGCGACAACGCGCGAGGCGCCGCCGGCCCCCGCCGCCCGTGTTGGTTTTGATCTAATAAAAGCGCTCCTTCCGTCTCCGGTCGGAGTTCTGTATGCATGTATTAGCTCTAGAATTACCACAGTTATCCAAGTAAATGTTGGTACGATCTAATGAACCATAACTGATATAATGAGCCTTTCGCGGTTTCACCTTATTTTGGTATGTACTGAGACATGCATGGCTTAATCTTTGAGACAAGCATATGACTACTGGCAGGATCAACCAGGGATCTGCTCGACGCCGCGCCCGGTCGCGAGGACCGGTGCGAGTCGGTCGCGGTACGGGGAGCCGTCGTCGTCGATCCCGCCGCCGCACGCCCGGTCTCTATTCGGCGGCAGCGCAGCCGCCGTACGGATCGAGGGCGAGGGGGACGAGACGCGGACTCTCCGAAGACCGCTTCGTCTCGTGTGTGCGGTCCGCACGCTCCTAAGAGCGAAGCTCGCCGCGCTCAAACGAGAGTCGGTGGTTTGTTGTGTGTGCGGGACGACGCCGAACGCGCGCGTGAAAGCAAAAGACGCGGCGCGCGCGGGTCGTCGACCCTAAACTCCGAGAAGGAGGAGAAATCTAAAACTCCGGCGCAATTCGCACTCGCGCCTATGCGGGGTTACGATTTCGTTTGTGCATCCTAATACTGCCGTCTTTAGGACGCCGGGACCTCGCATCGCTCGGTCGCCGGGCCTACAGTCTAAACTTTCCAGTTCGAGATACTATTTGCCGTAAAATTCCGCGGCGCAGCGGGAATGCGGCCTATCCTCGCTCGGAACGAGGCGAGCATTTGCATTGTGCGTTTGTGCGGTACGTCTCGTAAGACGACTCGCCGATCTGGTCGACCGCATTCGGTACGGCGCGCCGCAGGACGGCGCGCAGACCACGGTCATGCATAAGAGACGGCTTGGGTACGCGGGGTCGCCGGGCGACCGACCGAGAGAGCCGTTGTGAACGACTCCCGGAACGGTCGCGCCCCGACACACGTATCGTCAGCGAAGGACACGTGCGCCCATGCGGTAGCGCAATTTCGGAGCGGAGTGCGGACACTCCTTTTACCTCGCTAGATCCGTCCGTGAAGACGCGGGCTCGTCCGTCCAAAAGCAAAGGTATGAACGAGGAGTCGCGCGCAAAACGAAGGACTCGCAAGATCTCCGTACTTCGCTCCGGTCCTGCCGCTGAAACGCCAACAATATTTCGTAGTCTACGGCGAAAGTAGAAACGATAAACATCGCTGCTGGCGCAAAGCGGAGAACTTTCTGCAAAGCTGGATCGTCTTTTAAAAGACGTCGAGCCGCGGTGCGAATTGTTCAAATTGGTTTGAAACACTTCGCGAGAAGCTCGAAGTACGTATCTGCCGTCTCTCGACGAACAGACCCAGTACCATAATATAGTTGATCGACATTCAGGGGACCTCGGCGGGTGGTTACGCGTATCCGTCCGTTCTCCGTACGTTGAAAACCGAGCGCGCGCCTCGAATAGCAGCGCGGCCGCTGCAATGAAAACGATACCTATAAATCACGCCGATTACACAGATTAGACAGCGGAGACTTACACTTCGACACGCATTCTCTATCGGAACCTGAGCCGCGGCCGCGCTTGGAGAACTGGACGCGGGCCGGGCGGCGGTATTAGAGGAAGCGGAGAGGGCATCGGAGTTTCGTACTTCGGCGTGATTTAAAAAGGAGTCGGAGCGTAACGCGGCCGCGCTGGGAGATTCGGGCATCTATCGCGCGGCGGTATTAGTGGAAGCGGAGAGGGCATCGGAGTTTCGTACTTCGGCGTGATTTAAAAAGGAGTCGGAGCGTAACGCGGCCGCGATGGGAGATTCGTGCATCTATCGCGCGGCGGTATTAGTGGAAGCGGAGAGGGCATCGGAGTTTCGTACTTCGGCGTGATTTAAAAAGGAGTCGGAGCGTAACGCGGCCGCGCTGGGAGATTCGTGCATCTATCGCGCGGCGGTATTAGTGGAAGCGGAGAGGGCATCGGAGTTTCGTACTTTGGCGGTT